CAGTACTTTCTCATACATGGGGCCTGTAGTTTTCAGATCCATCATTACTCGTATTTAATCCAGTTACGACACTTGTTTCTTGATGCTCTAATCTGGTAACACTGGTATATGCATTTCTTCAACTAACATTTATATTTTCATACAATAGTCTATCCAACGTTGTGCAGGCCATTTAGCATAGAAAATAAGTGCTTGCCTACTCTCGCACCAATATCATTCATCTGTAAGCACTTAGGGTACAGCATATAATAGCAAACCGAATCATCTAACGCCTAGCTAAGAACGAAAAATTATTTTATACGATGTGGGAGTGATAGCGAACCTATCACTATTCCTGATCTTATATTCAGTTAATTTACTTAAATAATGTTTTATCGCTAAGTAGATGCCTGTAAAATGAAAAATGAAATTTCAGCATGGATTTACCATTTTCAGAAAACGGTTCGCTGAGTTCAACAATTTCAACTTTAAGAAACACTTTTTTGGTTCTGACTAAGTCAACTTGCTCAACATTTTATATGAAATGGAACCATAATGGCATAATATTATTAAGCATTTTTTGAGTCAATATAATACTACATTTAATATCGCCATCACTGAAAGCGAACTTTAGGACAAAGAATTAGATCACCAAATTATTATTTTTTAATGGAAGCTATGAAGACCAAGATGTTGTGGCCTTTTGTATGGTCGCATTCTCCTTTCGTTGTATACAAGTTGTTTGGCCTTGTTTTCGCAACTTGGTCATATTGGTAAAAAGACTTAGATGAACGCACCTAGTCCGGAGTCCATTGTATGCATGATAATTTCTAGAGTCGGACCGTGGACGTGGTACATTCCCAGACGTTTTACCGGCATCGTCAGGGAGTTTTGCCACTCTTAGAACTATACCACAACTTATCAAAGAGGATATAGGAAATGTGAATAGCCCAGAGCAAGAGAGATACCACAACTGTTTAGCACACGCTTTACTTGTCTCTGGCGATGTGAAAATTTCGGTTTAATCCATGTTTATCCCGCTTATTCTTTCCTCTTTTCCCTCTTCAAATTTCAGTTTCGCGAATGGTCGTGTGCCGAAGATCTTGCGCTTCATAAAATTCTGGAATACTTTTTTCAGTTCACTGCACCTAGTTTAATCGATTGGTGCCATATTGGTGCCCTTCATCCGACGCGCTCAGGACGCGAATGCCAACGTAGAGCCAAGCAAATTTGCCCTTTAATAAGATTTGCTGCGCCAACTAGTGAGCTTCGGCTGGCCGTGGAGGTGGGAATATCCACAGTTAAGGAAGGTAGGGATGGCCCAATAGCCTGCTTTAGCCCCAATGAAGACCTGCAATTATTGATGGCCATTCAGAAGTTTGGAACAGGTGGGGGCAAACTTGGTTATGGCACTGGACTTGGCCTCGGTTCCTGGAATCTTGTTGCAACTGCTCTTCCAGGACGTACAGGCCAGGATTGCTCTCAGCGCTACCTGGAATTATGTGACCATTTTCTTCCTTGGAGCTATGTGGAAGATCGTCAGCTCTTTAAACTTCTCCTCATTTACATGTCCCAGCGTCAGCATATTTCAGGGCCACAATTGGATGGCGATAGCGATGCTGGTCACCATTCCTCTTGTCAGCACATCTTAGCTCACATCAGCCGTTCAGAACTAAATGCTCTTCTTGCCTGCCTAAACTGTGACACTCCTGACCAAGCAAACACAATGAGACACATCGCCAAGGTGTCCAACAGTATCAAACCCCAACAATGTATGTTTAAACTTTTCTTATTGGTCTCGTCTTCTTTTTTATTAACTTGCTTTCTCTCTAAATTTGTCTTCAGGCTCTAATAGATAGTTCCTCCAAATATCGCTTTATAGCCTAACTGCGAAAATGGGCTAGTATCAACCGTATATAGTGAAAGGAAAACTGAAACACACCAACACCACTTCGTCTTTATAAATTTTAGCTATACCATTTCGAAATGTAGTCGTTATTTTAAGAAGACTTTAAAGAACATAGTCCATATCTTACTTTCTTCCATTTTTGTTTTGTGTTTTTATGACATTTGACCGTTAAATTTGTACATTCCCAGATGCATCACCGGTGCAGTAATCGATATCATCACTGCATTGTGCCACTCATAGCACCAAGCTATAATATCATTGA